GTTTCACAGAGCAAAGCAATACTTTGCCTCTTGTGTACTAATGAGAAAACTGGGCCACCATGCATTTGTTTCTGGGATTTTCAGATAGTGAAATTATCTGAGACTTCTCATTAGAGGTTAAAGTAATTTGAGTAGTGAGTATTGTCATGTTTTTCTGTGCCTTTGCATTTTCCTGAGGAGATGGGAGAGGTTGAAGCTGGTGATTCTATTTAGATGTTGTGTTAAGCTAAGAGTTCAAACAGTATTTAATTAATAATTCACTTTCCATTTTGTGTTAATCAAAAGGATGTAATGAATATATCACAATAATATAGCAACTGCAAATACCAGTTTGGAAAGGCTGAGGTTGTTGCTTTTGTTAGCTTGTGCAAGTTGTGATATGAATAAATGCACCATTCCATTATAATTTTGGAGTAATTACATATACTTAGTCCTCCATTATGACTTTCAAAGTTTGCTGTTGGGGAACCACAGCTCTGCCACTTTGCTTTTCTCACTGGTCCCCTCCTGGGCACCAGCGGTGTAAATATGGGACTCACCTAATTGTAGGACCACGAAGCAATGGCTCCAGAATTCTCTGAGCACCTTTGGAATAACAGATCAAAATAGCTGCCAGGGCCAATCTTTGGGGAGAGTAACTCCCAAAGAAGCTATAGTTGTCTTATCTCTGGCAACTGTTTCTGGCTACTCAGTTTAAGATCTCATGGTGAAATTACAACATGAGGGAATTCATCTAATTGAAAAGAAACTAGAGTTTCTCCAGCTGCAGAAATACGATTAATTTTTATTATTTCAATATATAATTACTGAAATTTATTATTTCAGTATTATTTCAACAATTTCTAATAAATTCTAGAGCTTAAATGATGTTCACCATTTTTTTTTTTTAAGATTTGTATTGGGGGATGGGAACAGCGCTGCGGAATTGTGGGGAGGAGAACAGACAAGTTGCTGTCCTTTTGTTCTTCAGTCTAGCTGTGGAGGACGTTGCTTCACTGGCCCAAGCTGGCACCATCATTGCGCTCTTCCCGGGCGAGGCAGATCAGTCGCCGGCTTCTGGACGGCCGCTTACTGCGGCTGCTGGCTACACACGGTAGCCCATGGCAACCCACTGCCACAGGGGCTGCAGCCTACGGCGCCTCACGGCAGCCCAGCTCCAGGTTGAGCTGTTGTTCAGCACCTTAGCTGTAGAGGGCAGTGTCACTGACCCTCATATGTGGGATCCGAACCGGGGCCCTCTGGCGTCCCAAGCGAGCTCTTAACCAACGCGCCACTCGGCCCACCCGACCTTTCTTTCTTTTTTTTTTTTTTTCTTTCTTTTTTTTTTTTAACATGACTTGGTTTAAATACTATCTGAAAGTTACAGTGGTCTTAAACTCTTGAAAGTTCACACCTCCTGAACTCTCTTAGCACTGAAATTCATTAAACTGGTTTACGGAACAATTGTTTATATTATAACCTGTTTTTCTACAGGTAAGAGCTTACTTTAATGCCAGATTTTGACAATATGTATTTAACTTTCTAAAAGTTGTAACATACGTGTGTGTGTGTGTGTGTGTGTGTGTGTGTGTCTGTGTTTCAAATACTATTTATATCAGAGACTCATAGTTATTGGGGAAAATCTGAATCTTGTCTCCACAACTCTTAACCTGGAATCCCAGGGAATAAAGGGTATGCTTCCACTAATAATGAATAATGGTAATCTTTTCTCAGTTCATGGGAAAATAACTTTTGGTCTTAAGCTCTTCCAACGCTTTGGCATGAATTATTTACCAATTGTTTGAGTAGTAGAAAATAAACAGGACAAAAACTGAGCAGTAGTGAGTCATGTTTAGTTTACTTGCTTGTGTTTTTCATTGTCATGTGCTTAGGATATTTACATTACATATCTTTAATATAACTATGCTTTATATTAATTATCCTATATTTTCTACTGGAATTAAGATTTTTCAGTGTTGCACAAAGAGCATTGTTACTTCCAAGAGCTCTGCCATCTGAAATGGTATGAGAACCACTAAATTTATCATCTTGTAAGATACTAGAGGGAAAGGACTTTTGTCATCATCATCATCACACATGATCAGAAGCCATTGCCAACTTTTGAGTAGAAAGAAACATGAGGAAAATTTTGACTTAATATTTTGGGGTGTTTGGGGAGTTTTGTGGAAGGTGAAAGTAGACATGGGAGCGAAGGTAGAATGTAATCACAGTAAAAAATATTGTCAGTTCAGTTCAGATTAAGCATTTCATTAAAAACTCCTATAACTCTAGCATTATGATCCAGATGAAAACATTAAGGTGGATTTCTTTCCTGTTAGTTTGACAAGTTAATTTTGAATTGATGAAAGCTGTACAAATTAAAATAACTAAAGTCAGATGTTTTCAAATGTCATTCCTCATAACTGGCAAACACAAATGAAAGTCATCTAAAAAGTACTTGGAGTTTCATATCATCACTTTTCTAGGTAGGAATAAATATAGACTAACTTTTCAAAAAATACATTATTACAGTAATTATGCATTCATTCATTCTTAGGAGGTATGTGTTATGCCCATTTTACAGATTCAGAAATTCAGAGTGGAGAAGTGGCTTGGCAGGGAACATGGACTTTAAATATTAAATCTAATGTTTGAACCCATGGCAGTTGCTTTTCAATACAGTGCTCTCTGAATTAACCACACCATGCCCTGGTTTTTAAATTGTTTAATTTTTTAAATTATAAAAGCAATGTATACTTAAGGCAAACAATACAATATCTACTACATCTGAGGGAGATTTTGTGCGTGCGTGTGTGTGTGTGTGTGTGTGTGTGTGTGTGTATCTCAAAGATGTATATTTGTGTATTAGAAAGATGTGTCTAGCACTAATAGGATTAATAGATGGAAAAGAGAGGGCACCTTGGAGGAAGAGAAACTAGTTAGGACAAACTGGTTCCCTAATCCTGACAAGAAATAAGAGCTAGAACTAAGATAGTGGCAATGACAATAGAAAACTTATTAAGGACAGCTATCCTGGGGAGAAAACCTATCAGAATTAGTAACTGATTGAAATGAGGTGTGAGAGTCCGGGGAACTAAGAATGACCTCCAGGTTTTTCACTCGGGCAACGTGCCGATGGAGAGATGGACACCAGGGAAGGGAGAGCAGAATCGGGGAGCGGGGTTAGGAATGAGTTTAGTGTTGGTTGTAGTAAAATATCCAAATAGAGATGTCTGTTAAGTGTACATGCAGATAGGGTTTAGTGTAGAATTCCAGGTGAGGGATAAAAATTTGGGAGGCATAAGCCTATTGACAGAGGTTGAAACTAGAGTACAGGTGTCACCCAGAGATGTATTATTTCAAAGGGAGAGAGTAAGTGACTGAAAGCAGAGCTCTAAACACTAGCATTTAAGGAGCAAAGAAGACTAAAGAAAAATGGCTAAAGAAGTGGAGTGAAAAGCTGGCCAAAGTGTCACTGAAACTAAGGGAGAGCTTCAGAGGAGAAGGAAAAAGTTGCAGAAAGATCACCTAATTGAAAATCTGGCATTTCTCTAAACTTCTTCATTTATAAAATTAAAAGAAAATAGAATTTCATTTATCACAATAGTCTTTGGAATTTTTTAAGTGGATTTATAATGTTGTATACGTTAGATAACTGTCAGATATCTTAAAGCATAGATAATAACGTTAAGTGTCTATAGAATGTGGCAGTGAATGTATATTACTGGCATGGCCCTTGCTGATGAATTCTGGTAAATTTGACTTGATTTGTTTTATTTTGGGTCTCTCTCTCTCTCTCCCTCCCTCTCTCCCTCTCTCCCTCCCTCTCTCCCTCCCTTCCTTCCTTTCTTTCTGTAATATGATGAGTTGAGGGTTGAGTGAAGAGCATTAGGTGTCCTAGTTATGTAAGTGAAAACCAAGCTATAATATGTAGAATCATCTAAGGGATTTATGAATTTTTCTTGCATCTAGTTTACATGATGACTAAAGCAAATTTCAGAGTCCAGTTTCTCTTCACTCTAGTCTACTCTAAAATATAATTCTCTCTATAAGGACAGAGAATCATAACTATCCTTGTAATCTTGGCTAGTAACTCAGGAAGTAGAACTCATACAGAGATCATAGTCATAGACCTCCAATTTCAGGGCCATAATGTAGCCTTTGAAATGACAGCGAACTGGGGAAGACTAGCCTGCCTTTGCTTACTGGGCAAAGAGCCATCCAGACACTTGGCTGAGAGCTGAGGGGTAGGGAATGGAGAATAGGGTGTAAAATGGACTCAGCCAGACTTTGCCCTCGGAAGTTTGCAGGGAGACAAGCAATAAACGTAAGTATAATAGTAGATAGGAGTAAAAGTAGAAGGAACTACAGATTCAAAGAAAAGAATACGCTATATCGCATATCAGCTGGGGAAATCTGGAGGAGTTTGCATTTGAGTTAGGGAGCTTTAAATAGGCAGAGTGGAGTGTGGAGCATTCTGCTTCAAGGAAGAAACATGGCCAAAGGCACTGGCCCCTAAACAAGTATTTGTTGAATATCTGAATAAGTGGAATTGGGTGGCTTTTGTTTTCCCATTGATTGACTCAGTATAATTAATGTAGGATTGTCTCCTATGTGCCAGTCATTGTGCAGGTAGGTGTTGGGAGTATAATAAGATGACCCTCATAGAGCTATAGTCTAACAGAGATAGAGAAAAGCAACTAACTCATGAATATGTAAATTCAAAGTGAGGCCTCTTAGGCTACTGACTAAACTGAGTGAAGAGAGATTATTGGGTAGGGTAGTCAGGGAGGGCCCTTCGAGGGAAAAAATGTCATTTGAAACTGATCTTTGTAAGAATCACTTTGAGATATCTTGTTTGAACTCTTTACCATTGTTGCTATCCCAATACATTCAACCTGGCTAAACTACTTTCCCTTAAAACGCAATTGTGAAACTCCTGTTTTCCACCAATATTGGTCTTACCCATTGTTGAATTCTTCACCTGTTGTTAAATTTACCGTGTCATCCTTGTTTTGCAGAAACCAAAGCTGAAGGATTGGCATCCTCCTGGGGGTTTTATCCTGGGATTGTGGGCACTCATTATCATGGTTTTCTTCAAAACTTACGGAATCAAGCACATGAAGTTCATTTTCTAGACGTGGTGGTGTATGAAGAAGACTGCATGGAAGACTACAGTCTTGGATAAAAATCTATGTCATTACATCTTTTTAAAAATGCATTGCTCTTGTATGAATTGGCAAAAAAGTATAAGGAAACTAAATTTGATGAACTTGTTTTATAACTTAAAAAATAATTGTTAATGCAAGTGCTAAATGGCACTAAATATATTTTGGTTTTTCCTTTTGTGTGTTATTAAAAAAGATGGGACAAAGAGATCAGAATATACTCATTAACTGTTTTTGAAAATAAGAATTTCCCCTTATTCCTCTTTCATTTGGAAAAGAAAAAAATGTGAAGACATTCAGTTCTCACTAGCAGAGGTAACTTCTGTTAGTATTTTTGTGTATGTTCTTCCAGCCTTTTTTTCTGTGTACTTATTTTTTTTCTAAAGTAGAGATCATATAGAATATGCCATTTTGTCACTCACTTTTCATTTTACAATATGTCATCAACCCTTCCTTTCCTTGGATATTCTTGAAGAACACATCGGGAATAGCTGCAGTGTACCCATTTTATTACTGTACTGTAGTTTATTTAACTATTTTCTACTGCCGGACCACTAACTTTGTTCGGAAAATTTTCCTTTGTTTTATTCATTAATGTGTGAAAATTGTACTGTCAGTCACTCATGGAATTCTGCAGCTTTAATTATAAGTCAACGTGAAAATTAGTTTCCTAATCTGTGGTACTGACAGTCCCCAGGACCGCATTTGCTTGTCAACTTATTTGCACAATTTAAGATTTGGGAATTTCACATATTGACTGCTCAAGAGAAACAAACCCCATCCATCATTCTTCATTTCTAAGTATTCTGTGATTCCCTAGAATCAATCATCCCCTCTGCAGTTTCCAAGTTGAAAGAGACATTGTTTCACTCTGTTTAAGGTAAACTTGCCCACTGGCTGGATCTACACTTTTCCTGAGACAACCTCATAAAGTGACTGGATGGAAAACTCACACTTAAGGCCCTGCCTTCACGTCTGACTGATGTATCACATAAGTCAGTAAATAAGCCCCTTTTCTGGTCACTGACAAGATGCAAGAGCTCATGTTGCCATCATTGATTCTTTAGCTTACCAGTCATCTTTGCACCTTTCTCATAACCAGAAATACTATTGAGATTGTGCTTTGCTATCAGCCTCAGGTATTGTTTTTTCACATGTGGGGGGGAAAAACCTGAAAGTTGAGTATTCATGTCCCAAAGGATACCTTTTTGTATTTTATCTGTTTTATCCAAGAACTTATGTATTGATCTTCCTTCATTATAAAGAATTGTTGTGTAATTGTAGGTAACATTAAGAAGACAACTCTTCCTCCACAATAAACCCCCTAAAATTAATACACCTTAGGGTTTGTTTTCCTTTTAGCACTTAAATATTCTCCTTTAATTACATGCCAAATGGTCGGGCTTTTCACAGGCAGAGGATTAACTGTGTTAACTCCCAGGTTAGAGCAAATAATACTGAGGCTTTTTGCCAGCTCTGAATCTTCATTTTAATTGATCTTTTGAAGGAAGGAAATGAAGAAGGAAAATTTTTATCTGATTATGGAGAAGGATCCTTGTGTACATAGAAAGACAGAAAAACAAACTTAAATTTGAATAGCTGGATTATAGAAGTGCTCAGAGATAAAGAAAATACCGCCACCAAACGCTTAACACAAGGTCACCAGCACCGTGGTGGGGCAGAGCTGCTCAGAGTGGTAAAGGAGATAGAACTGTTCTTGATAATTTAGTTTGAATATAATGAAATATACCCTGATGGTAAAGGCTGCCGGAAGGTAAAAGGATTCCTCTTCAGAGGTTGTGCTGAGGTGCCCTTCTTAGTTAAAACCAAACTGGGAAAAGCAGTACCGGATATAATATACAGGATTAATTTTGCCCAGGCAGAGTTTCAAAGGGCAGTTGTATCTCTTTCTGTTTCATTATTGAATTTTCAGAATATAGTTAAAGCAAAAAGCTTAAAGTATGTTAAATGTTTAGCTCGTAAATGTAATCTTCTTACATAAAGTATATTCCAACTTTAATAATAAGTACATCCTCTGCTTATGGTAAGTGGGTAATATTGTAGGTGTATTTAAATGGCCCAGCCTTTAAATGACAACATGAAAGCACTTCCTAAAATATATTCTATTTGAGTCAAAGACCTGAGCAACAAAAAGGTATTTTGGGTTTTTTTTTGGTCTTTCTCATGGCATTGTTGTGAGGATCAGATGAGATCATGTTATGACAACACTTTGGCAATTGTAACTATATGGTGATGTCCTTCAGGGAGGAAAGGAATATAGATAAATGGATTCTAGCAGACATGTCCTGACCTTTTAGGGGAGGGACAGGGTATAATAATGCCATTCTGCAAAGGTAGTCTGCATGAGAAAAAGAAAGCAAGTGATACGGATTTTAAAATTACGATAGACATTCGTTTGCAGTTTATGAAAGGCAAATGTAGTTTGGATGCAAAGCTGATTAAATTGGATCAAGAAAAATTCGAATTAAATCCATAAAATAATGCATGCATTTATGTTTTCAATTTTTATATATCCTCAGCTAGTTGAAAATGATAATTCCCACAACAAGCATAACTCAGCTTGTTTCTGCTTACCGAGTATTTTCTACCATGGTATATGTGGATAACATTTCTTCCATTATGTATGTGGTATAGCAGAGTTACAGTTACTGTGGGAATCATAATTTGAATTTTTGACTCATGTGTTTCTGTAATCTTTACAACAAATGTTGCATTAGCATAGAGCCTTTTTCCATTGGTTTTACCAAAATCAAATCCATCTGTAGCAGATACTGTTTTAACTTGTGAAAGAAATATTTTATAAACATACCACAAGGTATGGCTGTAAAATAATGAGACCAGTATCCATTTTTGCTTTATGGAATCAGCCTCATTATTTCATTGTCACATCTATCCGAAGGCATTTATCACAAAGAAAGTGTCTCCCGCATCGCCGTTCTGTTGCTGGCTGCCCAATCTGCATGTGTACCTGCTATAAACATGAGCCTTTCAGTTCATGGGCAGCACACCATGGTAGCCAACCAGTCTTTTTCCTTTTATTTTGTTTTAGTGCACAAAGTTTACCCTTTTAGAAATGTGCTATAAAATATTTGGTTTAATATATAATATGTAACTATGTAGACCCTTGAATAATGGGATCGATCTAGATGAAGGTGTGACCAGAAAACCAGTTATTAAAAATTCATGGACTTTAAACATGGAAAGGTGGCCGTTGTCACTGTTGATTCATCGGGGCTGCTTGCAGACACCTCAGAGGACTTGCCGATTTGCCCGAGGAGTACTCTGTCATCGGCTCTTCCAGGCGGGGTTCATATTACATGACCCATGTTTATATGACCCTCTTCTGGCTGTGGAAGTACCCACTCTGACTGTGCCAGGGACAGCTGGCAGGAGTGATGTGAAACACTTTCTTAGTTTTTATAAGGTTAAATAAGGTTATAAATGCAAAGCACATCATATAAAGCCTTGCACGTAGGAAAAGTTCAATGTTTTGCTCTGTGCTGGGCAGAACTCTCCTTAGCTCTTGTTTTTCACCTCCACTCAGGCCCATGGAGCTCTCTTTAAAGAACATGTGCGTTGATGCTCCTAGACTGGCCTGTTCCCTTCTGTTTTTAGCAGACGTTGTTTTGGGATAACAGTTTCTTTGCACTTTCTCTCAACACTGTCCAACAATTTAAATCACAGACTCTCTTGCCTCTCTTTTCTGTCCCCCACCCTTACCCCCATTTTAGTTAGGTGGAGCCTCTTCTCCATCTTCCCTTAACCTTAGTTTTTTACTGTCTTCTCTCTCTGTGGCCTATCCACTTTGTTGGAAACACACCTTTAGTGTGATTTAATGGACAGTCAACCCTCATGGTAGCCCCAGTCGCCTGGATAATGATCCAGTCTGATTTTTTTTTTTTCATTGCAGCCCACTGCAGCAGGGGCTGCAGCCTACGCCATTGCCGGCGACTCACGGCAGCCCAGCTCCAGGTCGAGCTGTTGTTCATCATCTTAGCTGTAGAGGGCGCAGCGTCACTGGCCCTCATATGTGGGAGCTGAACCTCAGCCCTGCAGCTCAGAGCTGGTGCTCCCAAGCCAGCTCTTAATCAGCTGAGCACTCGGCCGGCCCGGTCTGAATTTCTTTATTCCTCCATCATTGTGGGTGCTGCATTTCCAGGAGAAAATACCCTCTTCTCCCCCGCCCCACATTAGTCAGAACTTTTTAAGTGTCAAGTGATAGAAACCCAGCTAGAATCAATTTAGGCCAAGAGTGGAATTGGCTGGAGGGATCTTAAGATATCTCACATAACCTAGTGAAAAGGGGTCTGGTCTAAGCTTCACCAGGGACCGGAATGTCATTAGGATTCTCGTCACTGCACGTTTCCTTTATTCCTCTGGAGACTGGCTTTCTCATGTGGCTGGTAACTCCAGAGCCTTGTATCTGTGTTTCACCACAAGAAAGAGGAATATTACTCTCTTCCTTTATTTCAAGTTCTAAATGTCTGGTGGAAAAACTGATTAACCTTGTTTACATCAAGAGTTCACCTGGCCAGAGGGCCAAGGTCCTGTGAGGACATAAGGACCTCTGGTGGCATCACCCTGTCTATTCGGGTCCCTTCCAGAGAAGGGAGAGAGCATAGGAACCAGGCAGTCACTCTTACTAATACTTTCTACTACCTCTGCTGTTCAGTGGGTGGTCTGTCAGCTGCAGGGTCACCCTGGAGCTGGCTGCAAATGCTGAATGTCAGGCCCCGCCTCAGACCTACTCAACTAGAATCCTCATTTTTAACAAGATCCCCCGGTAATTCACATACATGTGCGAGTGGGAGAAGGACTGATCTACACCTTCCTAGACTAAACAGCTCAATTTATCTCCTAAAAGCGGATTGCGAAAGATTGCAAATATGTGTAAAACAAGCAGCCATGGGTAGCATATTTTATGGGTTAATTGACTAACATTATAGACCTTTTATGGCTGTGCACCACTGTAATTTTTTTTTCCCTTCTGAGGCTTTTTCAAAATGTTTAATGCTTAAATAGGCATCTGATTAGTATGTAGTATCTGCAAGTTCTTTGACACTCCTCTCATCAACAGGTGGAGTCTAAACGCCCCTCCCTTGAATATGGGCTAGCCTTAGTGACTTAATTCTAATAAATAGAATGTGGCAGAATAATAGCGCATGATTTCCAAGACGCCATGAAAAGTTTACGTAGCATCTGCCTGGCTCTCTGTCTCAGGTCGCTTGCTCTTGGAACCCAGCCACCAATCCCCAGAGGAAGCCCAAGCCACAGGGAGAAGCCATGTATGTGTATTCTGGCGGACAGCCCCACTAGGTCCCAGTTAACAGCCAACTGGAACCTCTGGAGATGTGAGGGAGGGAGCCCCCAGGTGTGTCCTGACTGTAACCCAGGAGAGAACCATCTTGTTGATCCCCAGAATGGTGATGGTGAGAAAGAATTTTTTTAAAATTGTTATTTTTACCCCTCTAAGTTTAGGATGGTTTGTTGTACAGGGATAGTTACTGAAATACTGTGTTAAACAATGTGATATATAGATGATGTATTACAGAATTGTACACTGGAAACCTATGTGACTTTACTAACCATTGTCACCCCAATAAACTTTAATTTAAAAAAATACTGTGTTAATATGTTGCCCAGTCTATTAGATGCTATGATGGATTCCAAGAAACAGCATTCTTTTTTAAAGAATTACAAATCTTGAAAGACATACGTGAAAAATGAAATAACTACATAGCAGAAAATGTCAAGTGCCATCTACGAGCTATAGAACAGGGGCTTCAAAAGGAACTTCTCTTTTTTTTTTAAATTGAATTTATTGGGGTGACGATGGTTAGTAAAATTACATATGTTTCTTGCGTACAATTCTATAATACATCATCGCTATACCACATTGTGTGCTCACCACCCAGAGTCAGCTCTCCTTCCATCACCATATATTTGACCCATTTTTCCCTCTTCTACCATTTTTAATTGCTAGATAAATATGTCATTAATATTGCACTTCCCTCGGGGGGAAGAGGCAGAGAAGACTTCGAGATGAAAGTGAGGTTTTACTGAGCGATCAGGTTAGATTTCTCTGGTTTGTTTCCTCTCCATTTCTCACCATTGTGCTTTCAAAATTGTAAATCATCTTCAGGCCTGTCCCACCCACTTTAACTTTTCTGTCATCAGAGGAGTTTGCTTTGTAATCTGAAAGTTAAGTTGGGAGAAGGTAACCAGCTTAACGTCCTTCTCTACCTCCAACAAAGTGACCTGTCTTTACCCCCATCTGTTATCCCTGCCCCCACCCTTTGGTCATAGAGATGGAGTTACTGACCCCATCCCTGCTTCTGGGACACTGCTCGCTGATAAACTCGCCTCTCTTGACCTGCAACCTCCATTCGCAATAGAAGTGCTTTCTCTTTCATTTTGTAAAAACGGTCAAGCTGTCTCATCAACTCCTCTCGAAATCCTATGTCCCCTTTTAAAAGCTAATATACAAATGGTATTGTATAGAGCGTTCTTCTACTTCATTTCCTAGCCTATTATTTTGAATGAATGGGCCGCAGTCGCTAACTTGGCTTCCCTGCCTTGTATTCATTTGTGAACCTTATCGTGAATCTAGCTTCTGCCCCCCACCCCTCCCCTGAAACAATTTTCATTACAAATATCTGATCTCCTGCTTGCCAAATCCAATGGAATTTTTCTGCCTGTCTCTTTCTTATCTCGCCTTAATATGTAACGATTGTTGATTACTCCTACTTTTAGAAACGTTTCCTTCTCCGCTTTCATGGCACAGCTCTCGCCCAGCTTTTCTTGCCTAGTCTCCTTTTCATTATTCTCCAAGTGCTTCTCTTTGACAGCCCTCTCCAGTTCTGTCCTGAAACTCGTCCCTGTCTCTGAATACTTGCACCCTCATCTGTGGTTTTCATTATTACCTCTATCTCATTGGCAGCCAAATTTCTATATCTCAGTACCTCTCGTGTTTCATAAATGCCCCGTTTTTGCTTGAAAGCCCCATGGGAATCTCAAACTCAGCATAACTGAACTTATCTTTCATTAACACCTCATTACCCAGTTCTCTATTTTTTTTTTCTTATTTTATATTCTGACTCCTGTCTGAATGGGCACAGACTATGAAGAGATATGTCCCATGTAAATGCTCATTATAGCATTTACTGAAGAAGAGGCTCATAACAGTCAGGTGGGCAAAATGGCATACTCTGTGGATGTCACTCGGCCTCTTTTTTCAGCCACCCCAGTGCTTGCTCAATGGGTCCATGACAAACAGTGGTTATGGTGGCAGGGATGCAGACTACAAGGTCTGACAATTAAGTTCGCAAACTTGTTGCAGTGATGTTGCTAACCTTTTTTTGATATCAGAGGGATTATTCATAGTGAATTTGTACCAAATGGACAAACAGTTAACCAAGTTTACTATTTGGAAGTGCTGAAAAGTCTGCTGAAAAAGTTAGATAAAAACAACCTGAACTTTTCACCAGCAATTCATGGCTCTTACATCACAACAATGCACCAGCTCACACGGCACTGTCGGTGAGGGCGTTTTTAGCCAGTAAACAAATAACTGTATTGGAACACCCTCCCTACTCACCTGATATGGCCCCCAATGACTTATTTCTTTACCCAAAGATAAAGGAAATAGTGAAAGGAAGACATGTTGATGACATTCAGGACATCAAGGGCGATGCGATGAGAGCTCTGATGGCCATTCCAGAAAAAGAGTTCCAAAATTGCTTTGAAGAGCAGACTAAGCACTGGCATCAGTGCATCGCTTTCCAAGGGGAGTACTTCAAAGGTGACCATAGGGATATTCAGCAATGAGGTAGGTAGCACTTTTTCTAGGATGAGTTCGCGAACTTCATTGTCAGACCTCATATGTCCAGCCCGACATGTTGGATTTCTCCTTACCATGGCTGATCTGGCTAGCGTTATTGCTGAGTGCTTAGCTTACCAACAGCAGAGACCTACATCAAAAGTCAGCCACTCACTGGGTTGGTGCCTCCACTTCCCAGGGGCCAGTCAGCTGACTGGTAGTAGGTTGATTATATTGACCATCATAGAGTGGGTAGAAATTCATCTGCACTGAAATAGACATATTCTGGGTATGGATTTGATTCCCTGCTCTCCCAGCTCCTCGCTCTGTGAACTCACAGAAACCCTCATCCACCATCATGGCTTTCTGCACAGCA